TTAACAACCCCCTCAAGTTCAGAGCAACTCTCTATGCGTATGCTTTCTAGTGAAGGACAATGATGAGAAGCCATAGAATATGAGAACACCCTTTTCATTTTATTGCTTCCCCATATCTTAATCTTCTCAAGTTTGGGGAAGCAAACATTAGAAGAAGAAGAAAGATTTTCAAGTGATTCTTCACAAAATATTCCCTCCAATTCCTCACAAGACCATACTTGTAATGTCTTCAATTCTGGAAGGCTTGTGACAATTGCAACAGTGAAAATATTCTTCAACTTTGGACATTCCTGCAATTTAATACTTTCAAGTCTATGGAGGCTCACACTTTGTGTGGGGCCCTTCCAAATGTATTCCAACCCTCCTAAATCTTCTAAAGATATAGAACACAACTCTGAATTTAGGGCCCTTCCTCCCTTATTCTCTTTTTTCTGTAAAGTAATTATATCCAATGATTACATGACAATCCGAAAGATGGACAATATACATGAACCATATCAAATCAAACTGTAAATTAACACTAATATTTTTAATATTGTAATAACATAATCTGAATAAGATAAATTTTACTAATTTAGGCCTTCATATACTATCCGCACTGATTTGTTACAAATAAAACAGTACTGAATAATTACTTTCCATTTCTACAACAATGAGCTGGAACGAAAACATTAATTAAAACAAAAATTGAAATAATTATTGCCCAAAATTTGATAGTAAAAACACGATTTTTTTTCAAATCAACTAAAACTTTTAACAAGAGGGAGACTTAACAAAAGGGGAAAAAAAGTCTCTTTAAAATATCTAAACGACAAATTTGACAAAGCAAACATGCCAATTTTTACGACACTGTTCACAATATAAACCCAATCAATTTCGCCCGTTTGACAAAATGATGCATTTAGCAAAGTAAAAGATATTATTTGACATTTTTTTAAAAAAAAAAGAACAAAAAGTTTTAATGTTTTATCAAAATTCATCAAGAAAAAATAACAAATTAAACCCCATTTTCACATAATTTTAATATTGTAATAACATAAGTTTTATTAATTAAGACCTTCATATATTATCCACAATGATTTGTTCCAAATAAAACAGTCTTGGATAATTACTTTCCATTTCCACAATAATGAGCTAGCCCCAAAACGTTAACCAAAAATTGAAATAATTAGTTCCTGTTATTATATTCAAGATATATTAATTTTTAAAGCTAATATATATATATATCTATATTCTTTGGTAGCAAACACGATTTTTTTCAAATAAATTTAAAAATCAACATGCCAATTTTTAACAGGAAAAGAGGTAGACTCAACAAAGGAAATTATTTGGCAATGTGAAAGAAATTATTTTGACAAAAATTTTAAAAGCAAAAGAACAAAAGGAGTTAACGTACGTTTTATCGGGAAAAAAGAAGTTCACCAACAAAAAATGACAAATACAGATTAAAAATAATAGTAGCATTTTATCATTCATGTTTATTATTTATTATCAAAGAAGCAACAAGTTGAGCTAAAAGTAATATTTGATTGTTTGCGGAAAATACTTACGTGTTGCGGACACTCCAATAATCCTCCTCCAAATATCTCTCTCAATTTCAGCAACTGTTGTAGATATAATTCCTTCAGTTTGAGAAGAGGTAGCCGCCAATCCCCATCATGTGCTACTTCTTCATCAACAACCCTCTCCAGTTCAGAGCATTCACTTATGACCAGCCTCCCTAGTGAAGGACAATGATGAGAAGTCATAGAATATGAGAACACCCTTTTCATTTTATTGCATTCCCGTATCTCAATATTCTCAAGTTTGGGGAAGCAAACATTAGAAGAAGAAGAAAGATTTTCAAGTGATTCTTCACAAAATATTCCCTCCAATTCCTCACAAGACTCTACTTCTAATGTCTTCAATTCTGGAAGGCTTGTGACAATTGCAAGAGTGAAAATATTCCTCAACTTCGGGCATTCCGCCAATTTAACACTTTCAAGTCTATAGAGGCTCACACTTTGTATGGGGCCCTTCCAAATGTATTCCAACTCTCTTAGATCACTTAAAAATATAGAATACAACTCTAAATTCAGTGTCAAAGGTTCATCTCTTGCTTCGATAGATTCTGTTCCTCTGACTTGCTGAACCTCAAACAGAGTACCTTTCATTCCACTTTTTTCAATTTCTACATATTTCAAACTTAGGAAAGGGGTCCAGAGTTTCTGATTGCGTGAATGGTGGGAGCTTTCTGCAGTAGTGACCACAATCTGATTCCCCTGTACATACATACATATATGTATTTAAATTATAATTATGAAATGCACACAATAATATCAACAACTTTTCTCTCACTCTCATCGCGTGAGTTAGAGATTAAACACGATTATTATATTACATAATGTATGTAAGCATATTATATATTCAGTGTCAAACACGATTTTTTCGGCAATAAATACCTGGGGCCAAAATCAATAGCACATACTACAGAATTATTTCCTTAACAAAAATAGGAAATAAAAATATAAAGCACTATTGAAAAAATGAAAGTAATTATTTGGAAAATATATAGTGTTGCATTTGGTAAATTAAAAGTAATTATTTGACAAAAAAGTTTAATATGAAAGACACAAATCCGTAAAAACAAATAGTATTTTCTTGTCTTGAAATAAAATGTAAAATTCCAATAGTAGTGCAATCACACACAGACATATGCAGACACTGTGTATGGTGTTACTACAGAGCTTTGAAATTTCAGAAACAAAAAATACATTTATATATTTGCAAAACCTTGAATTAAAGAAAATAACTGTTGCCTCTCATTTAGAATATGTTGGAGTACTTTTTTAGTTGTACGTATATTATTTGTTTATAAACGCGATTTTTTCAAATAAAATTTTAAAGTAAACATGCCAATTTTTAATTGAAAAAACGAGGTAGAATTCACCAAAAGCAAAAACGAAATGCCCTAAAAATATGTGAAACTCTTGACAATTGCACCAATTTACACTAGCCTCTAAAAACTAGTTTCCCTAATATATAGATGGTGTTAGAAATTGTAATACATATAACTATTTATTTGACCAGATAGTTAAAACTAACAAATAGAGTGATAAAGTAGGCACATTAATTTCGCATGATAATTTAAAAAACGGATATAAAATTCAGCACCAAAAGAAAAGAAACAAATTCAGCTTACAACCTTTTTTCAGCAAACGCATCAACATGGATTACTATTTCAAATGTGCAATGATTCAAGATGAATTTTGCGGATATAACACTTACGTATGGGTAGTCTTGAAGGGGCTCCCTTTGGTGCGGTAGACAATCACCATGCACATCTTCTTCATCAGTGAGCCTCTCAAGTTTATGACAACGCCATATTTGCAATTCCTCTAGCGAAGGACACTGAGAAGCTAGAGAATAAGAGAATAGCCATTTCAATTTGCTGCAACCCCAAATCTTAAGTTTCCTCAGCTTCGGTAGGCTTGTAATAGTGGCATGGGTGAAGATGCAGGTTCCCAATTCTGGACACCTCTCTAGAAACAGCTCTTCTAACATCGGGAGAGAACATGTGATCAACGAATCTTGGAATACTCGTTCAAGACTATTCATTTCTCTCAATCTTAAACTAATCAGGCGGGAGAACACTTGTCCTGTTTGAAGATTGTTGGTGCTCAGGCTATCAGCTATGAATCTCTTCTCCACACAGCGCGAAATTGCTAAGTGCTTTATTTTAAAATTTATATCCTTAAGATCCCACCTACAGTTGTCTACACAAAGGTAGTTTGCTCCAAGAATGAGATCTTTCAATGACGAATTTGAAACAGAGGCTTTGAAGCCTTGTATGCATAAAGCTCTCAGTTCTTCAATGCAATGAGCATCAAAATATTCTACAAGAGGAGAAAACCTCAATGATGTGGTATCATAGATAACATACCTCTTCAACCTCTTCAACCTTGAAAGAGAGAAATTTTCTAGGATGGCAGATTTCTTATTCCAAAAGTATAATTCCTCAAGTTGCTCACATCTTCCAATAACTTCTAAAGGATTTTTCTTAATTTCACACTCAAACACATCCAATAGCTTCAATTTTTTCATATCTACAATTCCAACAGGTAGTTCATCAAATTGAGAACCACGCAAGTCAAGCATCTCTAATCCTTTGAGTTGACCTAAAAAAGAGATGTCACCCAATGCAATTCCTCTGAAGCATAAGGTATGAAGATTAATTAATGATGACACAATTGATTGCGGCACTGACCATTGAATTTGTCCATCCCAATCAACTTGTTCCCATTGAAAGCTAGATGTTACAAGGCCCAAGATTTTGAGCTCTTCAATCCCCCCAAGATCTTCAATGAACCCTTCGGGATGAAGTAGCAGAACCTCAAGTGTTGGACAATGCAATTGATTAGAGTGCCTAAAATTGCCTTCCAGATCCCATAATGATATTACCTTTGTCTCTTTCATACTTCCATTTTCAGCCAACATTCTCGAAACCGCATGGCTATCCACCAAAATTGCTTGATGTTGCTTCCTTGCAATCCACAAAGCTACATCCCGAACTAAGTCATGCATTTTTACACATGCTTGCTCATCTGTATGCATTAATAAACAAGAATCTAATAGCCTGTCGATGCTTACTAAAATTTCCCTCCTTGCATCCTCCATTGTGTAAACAGTCACCTCAAATTCCAAAGTCCCTTTGGCAAATCGAATAAGATCCTCTCTATGAATTTCATGATCCTCAGGAAACATAGAGCACAATAGGAAGAGTTGCTTTGCTAGACTTGGCAAATAATCATAACTCAATTTGAGACATGCATAAGGCCCCCTTGAACTCTCATCAATATCCAATGGTAGGGATCGTTGTAGCCTCCATAGTGCTGACTTCCACTCCACAATTCCTCTTCCTCTTAATGCCCTTCCCACTGTCACAATTGCAATAGGTAGTCCCTTGCACTCATCAACAATTTTCTTTGCCACACCAACAAACTCATTTAATGAGTCATGGGTTATGTTTGCATGCATCTTTAACAAATCCCATGGTTCCTCCTCTATCAAGAGAGGCAATTCAAAATTTTCCTCACAACCCATAGAGACACAAACATCTCGAAGACGAGTAGTTAACAAAACACGAAATTTTCATTAATCGGAATACCAATGTCTTGGAGATTTAGATCGCTCCAAACATCGTCCAAGATTATAAGTATTTTCATACTTTTCAATCCAATTAATAGCCTCTGTGCTATGGTTGATTCGGTTTTTTCCTCAAATTCCAAACCCGTTTTTTCTTTTATTTCTTCTTGGATGTTCCTAACATTAGGAGGCCGAGAGACAACCACCTTGACCACTTTGTCAAAAAGCCTCAGCCGTTCAACCTTCTTACCCACTTCGATTGCCAAGGTGGTTTTACCTGAGCCCCCCATACCATACAGGCCCACCATCTTATTCTTGCCATCTTTAATAGCCTCGAAAAGGCTATTAAAAATTGACTCCCTTGATTTGAAGTCAATGACATCCTTGGAAGAAAATTGATCACTGAGATTAAGAGGTGGGATCCGCTGGGAAAATAGCTCAAGGCGGGAATTCATGAGATCCTTCATCCGCTTCGCCTTCTCATCCATTTGTTTTGCTAAGGAATACTTGAGCGACATGTTAAAACATTTCTTTCCTCCTCCTCCAACCTCTTGCTGTAGCTTTTGCACCTCGTCTAGGATAGCATTCACATCATCCAACCACTTCTTTACACGTGGCGTTATTTCTTCAGTTTTTTTATGAGCTTCTTCCTTACGCAGGCTCACATTTTCTCGTGTCACCACCAGCTCTTCTTTTATTTGGTTGAAGCAAAACAAATAACGGGCACGACGTGAAATTGGATCCCATAGACATTCTGCAAGCTTGGTTGCAAGACAAGTCCCAATTTCTTCCATCTAATGCAATACAAGGAAATCTTATGTATAAATACACCAACTTGTAATAATTCCAAATACAAAATAATGTCGCAAGCATAACACACGGACAACATGTATAAATTTGAGATTGGATGAACAAATAAATCACTTTATAAATATGTTTCAGAGATATTATATTGTATTAAAACAATTTTCTAGCATTCACACAACGGTTTGATTAGTTAAGTTTTCGTCAAGATGAGACAGTTTTGATATATAATATAAACTTTTTTAATTAAGGGACTTTGACTTGGAGAAAATAGTTGTGAAAACGTAAATTTATAATACAATTATCTAATGATTTCAATTTTGAGTTGAAGTGATGTTGAAATAATACAAAAACACGAGACAAAAAACTTGTGGCTAGAAGAAGTAAATAATTTATAAGAGAATATAATTAACAGTAGAAACTGAGACTCTTTCAAACAAGGGTAGTTAACTGTTAATACACATTATCCTTAATTTAACAGCTAAATAATTAATGTAGAGATATTATAAAAATTAATTAAATTGACTATTTGTAACAAACATGCACTGATTTCTTTAAACAATAGAATTCACACAAGTAAAAAAAAAAGGAAAAAAGGAAAAAGAAAGACTTTTTGTACTGGTTAGAAAACGGCTTTTTAACTGGTTAGAAACATTTTTTGTAATGGTGTTAGTATAATCATTTATTATTTTCAGAGGGAAACTAAAAATTGTAATGATCTTCTTAATAATTTAAAGTGAATTAAATTAAAACAATTTATATAGGTGCTAAAATGGTTCAATTAACATAAATTCAGAATAATACAGAAAATTATCTAACAAATTCAGTGTTTTCGATGCAGTTGTATTCTTTCGCCAGAAGAAGTGTTATTTTTTCCCCACTTCATATCGAGACAAGTTGGATTTTAATAGAAAAATTAATTAAAAAAAAACATAAGTCAAATTTTTTATATCTATTAAATCAGTTCTTCAATTCCATATCACCTTGTGTACTTTTTGTTTCATGTGAATTTATAATTAAATAATAATATTTTAATAATAGGATACATGTTCATATATGATTGAAGAACTTGACATAACAAAAATAAGGAACTTGGTGTAAGTATTATCCGAAATTAATTTCCTGGTAAAATATGAACAAAAAATAAATTAGAAACAAAGAGAATAAAGAACTCAATAAATTTGACGGACTGATTGAAAAATAATTTTTGACAAAAAGAAAGTAAATTCTTTAAATTCCTTTCATAATGTAGTGTATGCTGCCATTTAAGAATTGTAACAAATATATTAGTTGGATATTGCCGTAAAATAATTATAATTCGACATTAAATCTTTGACAGCTAAGGGATTTATTAAGAATTGGACAAAATAGATGCAATAGACTTCATCAATTTGTTTTGTTTCTAAAGTTAAAATAAATATAATTAAAGAATAAAGAATATCTAAAATAAGGAAATGATGTTCCGATCATATTTACCTTACTAAAAAAATTATTAATAGTCATGTAAAAATACTAGTACTTGAATGCTGTTCTTTTTCAATGACATGCGATGTTATTATTTAACGTTAACATGAATTGATGAAAAGACAAGTTATAATGTAAAAATGATACCTGCTCATTTATTATTAAAATTTTTTTATGATTATTTTTATGATTGGTAAACCTCCATTGACTGTGGCTGATCGGTAGTCAACATCAATCATATGCGGGGATTCAAACACACTTATCACTTAACAAGAAAAATTAATTCAAACTAAGTCTACCTCCAAAGTAGTATTTTGACTTGATTGGCTAGTGATGAGTTCAACACCTTTTGGTCACCTTACTTTTAAAAATTCCTTTTGGCCACCAGAGCTTGAGTGCCGGTAGTCAGAACTCCGACCTTAAACGCCAGTGGTTGGAGCTCCAACAATAATTAATATTTATTTTTTAAAAAATAAAAAAAGAAGTATTATTGTATTTTTATTCCGAAATTTTAATTTCATTTTAGTTCAAGGAGGTTAATTAAAATTTTAAAATGTTTTGAAAGTTAACTGATATTAATTAGTTATAGTGATCCTACAATAAACTTTACCCTTTATTTAAAGAATATTTTCTTTTCAAAATATAAGTACAGTGCATATTTTAATAGGAAAACTAAAGCATTTAATAATCATACTATTAATAAATTTAACTGATTCAAATTAAAAATATAATTATTTATAAAAAAATAAATTATGTTAAATGAATAATAATATAAAATAACATCTAATAAACTCGGTGTTTAATGTACAAATATTCGATCCTTTGTTTGACAGGCAAATATTTTTATGTTAAAACATTCTAGGTGAGACTTGAGTTTATAGTAAAATTATTTGTTATATAAGAATCTGACCTAAAGGCCAAGTCTCTAAAGAAAGTTCCACTCTATATAGTGGCATCTAAAGTGATACAAACATGTACCAATAGAGTCGGCTCTAATAAAGAACTAGTTCCTTACAACATGACAAACTAATATTCGAATCTCTGTTAAAAGAAGTGGCCACATTTAATGTCCGACAATATCTCGAATAGGATTATCTCCAATAAGAAGATACCCATGCTTTAGCAAAAAAAAAAAAGTGATACAGACATGTAAAGCAAAGCAGAGAGATGATAATAAAACTAATAGTTCTTGGATACAAAAAGTCAAATTTTAAAAATAAAAATAAATTATTCTTTACTTGAGTATTTTATCAAGGTATACCACCTCCTATGGTGATTGAGAATTTATTTCCTTATTATACTCATGCTAAACAATTGAAAATAAAAATAAGTAAATAAATAGATAATGAGTTTTGGCATGGGAGTTATTCAGACAATGTAATTGTCACTAACCTCAAATATCAGAATAGAATTGGACGAGTGATGCAGAAATATCCACTTCAAATCAAATTAAGAGATGCCCAGCTACACGAAATTAGCAAATAACAATTAGAAACAGAAACAAGAAGTATACATAATTCAATTATTGTAAATTCAGCATAATATATTATAAAGAAGTGTCTAACAGATTGTGTTTAATTTATAATATTATTATGCTTGAAAAGTTAATTTAAAGTCCAATAATGTTTTGATTTTCTATTAATAAATAAATATATAACGCCATGTAGTATATATAGAACCTTGATAAAACACTCAAATTTGGAGTTCAAATAATGATCAAACGATAAATAAACACGAGACGTATATAGTAGAATTGATCTTATGTATCGTTGACTCTGGATTTTAATATTAAAAACTAATAAATCTTTTTATGTTAAAGCAAGCGATATATTGTATAATTTCGTAACACGTGTCTCTAATAATTTCCCGCTGAAAGAAATATATCGTTTGAGGACACGTAAGATAAAGAAATAATATTGTCATAGGACTTGTCAAGTTCAGATTTGTGCCATATGTTCAGACGCAAGAAAGAAACAAGCAACGATTGGCTCTAAATTAAAACAATGCCATTATTTTGATAAATATTAAAGTATTAAAATATTTAATAAAATTTAATCTTTAAGAATTTATTTTCATGACTGGTTTACGTCTATATCATTTCATAAGAAAAAATAATCATAACCAAATTATATATTTAATAAAACTTAATCTTTAAGAATTTATTTTCACAGATATCTATTTTTAAAAATAGGCATTCCATCAAATTCAGTACGAAATTTCAATTAATATAAATTCAATGTAATACACAAAAATACAAATAACATCCAACATTTCATTTTTCACTTTCTAATAATATTTTGATTAAAATTAATATTTACCTGTAATATTTTCAATATCTGATGAGCCGCAAGGGAAGGCAGCCAGAACATGATTGAAAATGGATTTTAGAAATTTAAGGAAAGCATAGACGACCCTAACAATACACAAATTTATCTAGTTCTACTTATAAGCTGCCTTCAGCATATTTTATTAAAATAAATAGAAATCCCAAACTCTATTAAATCTACCTTAAATTTGGACAACTTTTTTCTTATTTAGTATATACTTTCTCCTGTTTAATATATACGTTTATTAAGAAAATAACAATCTGCCTAATAATAAATAAAAGATAAAATAATATAGTTATGTTAAAAATTTAACTTAATGACGTAACAAATATATAAAACAAAAAACCTTCTTTCTACTTTATGGTCATGGGGAAAAAAAAAACAAAAGCCTGAATGTCTAGACATATTATTGGAGGATGGAGAGACCGCAGCTGCTGGAACATCTATTGCATCAACTACAACATCCATTGTCACACAAAAATTTTTTTTTTCAAGTTATATTCTGTTATATGAACTTAAGATAATGTTTTTTTCTTTCTTTTTTTTTTTTTGAGGCAGAACAAGAACTAATGGGAAGCAAAGCAGAGAGTTGATCAGCGAAAGTGGGGCGCTGCGCACCAGAAGAGGCAGAAGCTAGGAGTCTGGAATTAGCTTGGAATCTGGGGATCAAAAAGGGTGATACTGGAGGTTGATGCGAGAGAAGCCGTTAGAAGGTTGAGGGGGAAGGAAAAAGAAGGAAGCGTTACCTGTTGTTTATGGAAGGAGATTGCTGGTTTAATGGATCGAAGGAGGGAAGTCAGAGCAGAGTGGATTAGGCGAGAAGCGAACGCTGTGGCAGACGCTCTTGCGAAAAATTGAAACGAGAGAGTTGTAGGAGAAGAAAAATTGTAACGGGCTTTATTTAAAAAATTAGAAACACAGAGTTATAAAATTTTGATAAAGAAAAGATGTAAAATAAAAGAGTAAACAAAATTATTTTTTTATTTTTTAAACCTAGTTTATTAAAATTTTTCTTTTTCCCCGTTTCTCTTCGGATACTTAATAAATCTTCTGGTTGAAATGAGGTGGGCGTAGAAAATCACACAAAAGATTATTTTTTAAAATAAAATGGTTCAGGGTTACTCTTTAATTTATTGTTTTAAAAGGATGTTGAAGTGGCAGCCTGAGAGATATCAAATTGATCTGGACGGGTGAAATTCACGCTGCTGAGGGACGCTGAGAATTTAGGCCGCTGAGAAGATCCTGATCCGCGTCTTCACTTGAGCTCTTTAACTATGGAGACACCAATTCTAAAGTTCAAAGTAAGCTACATTTAATTCAAGACCAAAAAATTAACCTATATTTAGAATAATTCCAAATTCAGAATAATGTCCCAAGCATGACGCACACGTACAATCTGTATAAATTTGAGATCTCTTTTGAGAAGAAAAATTATTGGGGAATGACAAAGTGTTTAACAAAATCAGAGAAAAGTTCAAAAGGATGAAGCAATAACGTAACGTTAAAGGGTTTCCATTAAAGATAGTTATAATGCACATAATTAATACAGATATTTTTAAAAAAGAAAGCACTTATTCATAACTAGTTTAACTACTTTTCTTAATATTCGCTCATATCCACAAATTAGTTATCTACGTAATTTGAAACAGAGCAATGATCAGAAAGTATTCCAAAGAAATCTACTGGATCTGAGGCATCTTACTAACAATTAAAAAGAGATAAAAAGAGATAAAAAGAGAAAGTGATGAACTTACCTGTTTTTGCAGACTGCAAAGGGCCTGACGATACCTTCAACAAAGAGAGTAATCTCCTTAGCTTATTGTTCAAATCAGATCTCTTTGAGAAGAAAAATTATTGGAGAATAACAAAGTGTTTACCAAAATCAGAGAAAAGTTCAAAAGGATGAAGCAATAACGTAACGTGCTTACTAGCAAGAAAATAGGGCACTGCGATAGCAAACAGAACACCGGGAGATTTTAACTTATGAGACTTCAGTGATGGAAGAGTTAATGAAAGCATAATTTTAATTTACATCCGGTCACCAAGTAAACTCTATAAGTCTTCCTGACATTATTTTTCTTTAAGTCTTTTAAATATTTTAGTAGTAAAGTATCTTTTCCCCACCCAATTGTCGGAAAGGCATTCTCCACTAATCATACAGCAACATGTTTGCAATCTCTGTCAATATTATTGATTATGAGAAAAAAATTTTTTTACTAACTTTACACAGAAGATGTCAAATGTATTTGGTAATGGATGGTTCCTTTCCCACAAGAAAGCTCGTTTAATTTCAGATTTCGTTCTTTTAAATTGAAGAAGATTGATCAAAAGCAATCAAAACGGAAAGAAAAGTGAGATAAAGACTACCCGTTGATTAAAAAAAAAAACTATCAACATTTAATTAACACACGTAATTTGTATAACATGCCAACAAATATGGTTAAATAGTTATTCAAGTATTTAAATTTTAAACTTGAGCTCTCTACACTGTTCAAATGTCACAAATAAGATTATGAAAAAACGTGTTATGAAAAACAAACCAAAAATCATAAATTTTGAATGAAATTAAATTTAAATGATGAAAAATATTGTTATAAACTATCGTGAATGGTATTTTTTTTAAACATTAAATAAAATATTGCCTATGATGCATATCACATTTGTTTCACATTGGTATTGTTAGTGACAATCATTACTACTAAAATATTGTTTTCTTCGCTTTTCTCTGTCTCCCTCTTTAAACATTTTATGCTTCTTTATTTCTCAATTCTTCAAGTGGGTTGGCCCAACAGAAACATTTTCTTTAAGTCTTTTAAAGATTTTAATGTTAAAGTATCTTTTATCCTCACCCTAATTGTCAAAAAAAGCATTCGACATTAATTATACAACAACATGTTTATAAAATCTTAGCTTTCCGGAGATCGTCATTTAATTTAATTGATTATTTAAACTTCGAATCTAAACTTATATCAAATTGAAGAAACTTTTTTAAAGGAAAAGTTATAAATTTAGTTCAATAATTAGCGATTCTGATTTGATATATATGAATTTGAGAAAATTAGAGAAAAGTCCCTTATCAAAAATTTCATTAAGAACAAAGACCTATCTTGTCTGTTCATATTTATATCAAGAAAGGAGTAAGAGAATGAAAAATTTTAGATATAAAAATGAATCTGAATAAAAGAAAATTAAACGGATGACAATTAGAACGGCTTCAGTTACAAAAAGATTGATGTAAACTTGAAATAACTTATTCAGGTAAAAACATTTCAGTTAATATAAATTCTGTGATATAGAGCATCCAGGAAACTCTTTGATGTTTGATTTTAGGGTTAATATAATCTTTGGTTTTTTAAGTTTGACCACATTTTGGTTTTGTCCCTTAAATTTCAAACATAGGTTTCAGTTTTTTAAGAAGCAAAATAGACTAATTTTTTATTAAATTATAGAGATTAATACTTTAAATGAAGAGACCAAAATCTATAATTTGAAATTAAGGGACCAAAATCAAAATGAAAGCAACTTAAGAGACAAAATATTATATTAACTCTTAATTTTATAATATTCTTTTGCTTGATAAACATAATTTTAAAAAAACAACATGACAAAAAATCTTCAAATAAATATTTACCCGTACGACAGAGAGATGAAGTTGATGATATTCCAGAAGCCTGGGCAGTACAGGGCAGGCTAAAGAAAATGATTGATGTTGCTGTGCATGATTGAATGTAAATGTAAATTACTCCAGATAAGAAAGAACAAATAAGAGATGAATCTAAATGAGTCAAATAATGGGGGGCAAAAAAAACAAAGAACCCAGTAAGAAGTCACCAATTGGACCAACGTCTGAATTATACAAAATCCCGATGCATAACATTTTTGAATTGGTGTAAAATATCACATCTAAAATTTTAGTTTAGAAATATTAGAATTAACCTAAAATAGATATCAGACTCTTTTTGGTAAAGATCTCAAAGGTTTCCTTAAAGAGAGAGAGATTTTTAGAGGGCGATATTCTGAAGCACCAGATAATGCATTCACATTCACATTTTTTTTCTTGTCATATTTATAGAATAGCCGCTATAATTATTTTGATTTGGTCGGTCCACATGCTAGTCTCTAATGAGTTATTTTCTT